GGTGTCTTGGTATTCTGCGGTTTTTTCCTGCGTTTCGTCTGTAAGCGCACGTCTTGGCTACATCGCATTTAACATCACCCCGCAAAGGGAGGAGCAAGACGAATGACCAGGTCGGAGGATTTGATCATTTCCCCTCGTTCCCGATTGCATCCTGAGCGGAGGCTCCAGTTGTAGATGTGTTAGGCGTTCATCCACATGCTTCCCTTGCGAGTGACCCCACCTAGCTTTAGAGCGGCTGCCTTTTTTACCCTCCCGTCTCGACAGCATTGGTATCCTGCCTTGTTTACCCCTCACTTTTTCTCGTTCTCAGCCCCCGTTGGAGGCCATAAGCGGCTGCGGCGGTCAAATCCCAAACAGAGCAGAAAATGAGATAGAGGGAAAGCGAGGCCAGCATATGTTTTAAAATATAAAATAAACACGTCGACTAACCTTGGGCCCATTACATCGTCCCCTGATGTGATCCAGTTCGCCGTGTGCTGTTTCTTATCCGCCTTTTGCCCCTCTCCCGAAATCCTTTAGTAAACGTTCTAGCCACACCTCCTTCCACGTCCATTGGGTCGGAGAGGATCTACAATAGAAGCAATGCGAAATAGACAGAGGAGCTCCAAAGATAATGGGGAGAGTACGTCCGTAGAGAGATACGAGGAAAGAGCAGGCGAAGTTGTGGCCATAGATAGAAAAAGAGACGATGCTACAGAAAGAAATCGCGAAGAAAGCAAGGGAGGACGACTGTTCCACTAGCTGCAGTTCACCATCAGCGGTTACTGAACAGCGAGCGTCGACTCGACGCATCGGGATAGGACTACTATAACTATTACGGCTCTGACCACTGGCACTGTTATAACCGGTAGCCAGTGGCTGGCAGAGACTATTGCGGACACAGAAGGACACATACGCAAACGATGCTCGCGGCTACCTCTGCTCCTACTGGGGTTGGCGCCTGCCCTCGCGTCTGAAACCGCCATGGAGGGGAGCTTACACGCCGGCCAACCGGGATTACTGTTTATGAAGAAATGATCCCTCGTTTATAGAGAGCGTCACCATTGGCGGTGAAGGCAGCAGAAGTAGTCAGGGACAGCCGGTGCCACCCCTGCTAACGGGTAGCGGCGTCTGTCCTGCGGCCTAACTCGCACATGGGCGCTGGTCAGCATGTACAGTTGTGGCCTGCGATGGGTTAAGATGGTGGTTGCGAACTGGTGACGATGACCAACACGAATCAGAAGGTGCGCAAACGGGTACACATGCCCAGCCAGTTAAGATAGTGGTAACGGCGTTAACATGGCAGAGGTTCGTCGGATCACGCAGAAACCGCCTCTGAGAAGGCTCTGCTGAAAAGGCGGAGCTCTGGTGCTCTAAAATGAATAGCGACGAATTGATAGCTACACAACTCACAGTTGTCTTTGGGTTAGAGACAGAGAGGGGAGAGAGAGGGTGTGTGAAAAGAGGGGTTCGTAGAGAAAGACACTCAGAAGGTTGGTGAATAGCATTGGCAGGGTTGATGGGACGGAAAGTAACGAGAGAAATACGACACAGCTCATAGCAAGAGAGTATATCAAACTATTATAAAACCAACATCCAGTATGATATCGGCGGATGGAGTCAAGCCTGGATAGTACTGTATTAATACGTTGCGCATAGTGTAACAACAAACGATAGTCAATCATCCTACTTTTTCTTGATACAGGCTGATAATTTTATGGCTTAGCAGGTTTCCATAAAGCACTTAGTTCAAAACGGACATAAATTGTTCGTTTGAATTAAATTTCGTATAGAATCATATATATGATGGTATTAGGATTCAGCGAATTTTTCAAAGCTGCCCTGCAAAACCATCTGTTCATCAAGGACGGGGTTCGCTGGTCTAGGCGTATAGCGCACTACGTAAGCAGGATTGCCTCCAGGTGCAAACATATCGAACAGGACCTTCTATGCTAAAAACGTTCTTAAGTATCTTGTTCACTGTAATGCCTTACTTCTTTATTTTATATTGGACTTTACAATAGAGTACCTGTTAACAATCTTCGATTAAACTTTCGTTCCTCTTGTTTTCCATTGACCACTACAACTAATATCGTTATCTTATATGGGCGCAATATGTATCATGTATTTTGGACAAATGATTTAAACCACAAAAGCGTTATTCAAACTTTAGAGGGAGACATGGCTCTCGTGCAGACCTTAGGGAGAACTTATGTATCAGCCTGTTGAATAAGAGTTCAGGGGGCGAGTTGTAAACTTTCGTATCTCGTCAACGTATTATTGTTTTTAGGCGCTTATTTATTCTTCATAAATTTTATGTACGCTTGATTTTCAAACGGTCACGACGGGTCAAGCCAACCATGCAAAGCTTCGTAGGGCACAAAGCCGTCAAATGTCGCCACCTCTGTTGGATCAACCGTCAGTGTGTTTCTAGTCGGCTTAAGACCTACTGGCCTAAAGCTCTTTCGTACTTTGACACAGGGGCAATCAGTGAAGCACGAACAACAACGAAAAGAGGGTCAGAGAGAACGAAAAGGCCTATTATAAACAGGCCTCGATCATAGGTCGTTCCTCAATGTTGTTCACCTTGATTTTCCGCAGTTTCAGCAACGAGGGGTTCCCAAACTAAAGTTATTATCGGAGGTTATTGGGACAGCTCTTCGAACCCCTTGGCAAGGTACTTCAGAAGCAACCGCACAGCTTGTTCTATGACGCAACCGCCATCAATGTGGTTGCCCTATTTCGATAACAGTAGTTTCTACCATCGTCGCGTCCAAAGAATATTGCCTTCCGCCGAACTGATCTTCAGCCCTGTCCGAATACGCCCGAAATCTATAAATACGGCATCATGATTATCGTCAATAACGGCAATGCCACCATCGAGAAAACAATAACGGCATCAGCAGCTCTTTGTTGAGATCGTATCTAAGTAACTCTACTGTAAACTGTAGATACCCACAGTACATATACAAACTTATACATTTGGGTGCTCTCAGACACTCTTGAATATATAGATTTGTGTTGAAGGGATTATACATATATATATGTATACCATATCTTGAAAAACAGCTGTTTTCTTACTGGGGTATTTACTCTGAATTCAGCTCGATATAGTTCTGTTCATTTTATAACAGTAACAGCTGTAGTTCCCGATCAGTTTGGAGTATGGATTTGTGGAGCGTCGGCATAGGGCATTGAAACGAAGAAGACTAGACAGTTCGTGGGTGACGATGTTGATTCCCGTTTACATTTCGGATTTACAATCACTGCCGGCCTTGTCACCTCCCTTTGCAGCCGCCGTCGACACTTGATGAGCCTCGAACGACGCCAGTCACTTGGCCACGTATAGGACTAAAACAACTGCTTCAGGTTAGAACTGAGCACTGTTCTATGTCATAATTGGCGGGTTAGAGCCCGCCGCTCAAAAGCTCTATCATCCGATTCTTAGATTACCAACGAACTATGCGCCAGTCGACATTACAAATTCGCTCGTTCCTTCGTACAAGACAAACATTTAAGTACACGGATCCACACCAAAGGACGGAAGATTAAACGAACTCAATCTCTCAGAATTGTATGTGCAGTCTTTTTTCTTTGTATTTCGGGTCTCGTCGCGCTAACCGGCTTCAGATTCGAAGTCACCCCAGTTAGACGTAGGAGTGTCTAAGCAAGCTAGAGACCGCCGCCCAGGAGAAATGTTCCACTATTGCGGGGCCTATATACTTTGGCCTAACCTACAAAGACCACCAGGTACTCGGCTAGTTTGTATGGAGTTTATCAGACGGAGGTGTCTCCCCAGTTCTCATCGGGTAGCGGCGCCAAAATTCGTAGAATCAATAGACACACACCGATAGGGGCTGTGCGGTGGTCTACTAGCCTATAGAAATAGAGAGAAAAAAAAGGTCGACTCAATAAACTACTGGATGCGAAGTATCTGATTCATCTATATATATTGACTACGATCCGGTTTGGGAACCTTTAATCTAGGCGGCGCCCAATGCCTAGTACGGCCTGGAAACTAATGTGAGAGTGGGCGTGATTTTGTTTGATGGATATTTGTACTCAATCTTAGAATGAAGAAAGCTCCAAATAGATAGATGGACCATTGGCTGTGGGTGCAGCTTCTGATGTCTTTTTAGGTGAAATAATCACCGCTCTCACGGACAGCATGCAAGGGGGGGCAAATCAAAAAAAAAAAATCCATTTTACATATAACGTTTATAGACGTCGCTTTGTAGTGTAGCACCCAGATACATACCGATATTGGCATTTGATGGTATTACGCTGATATTCTCCAGTGTGATCACATTAATCCCCGCTTTAAGTTTACTTACCTGCAAACGAAAAAAAAAAAAAAAATGTTTATCTTTATACCAATGTCTCAGTGTCATCAAGATACCAGGTGCAACAAACACATATTGAGTTGATTGAAATAACTGGTGCAAATACAACCAAAGGGCTCTAGATCTGCGTCAACTCTACAACATATGTTTTCTTTTGTCCTGCTGGAGGAGACTAGACATTGTGGCTCCATGTTTCGAGTTTGATGTCTAATATCGCCGTCGCCGGGCATTTCGTCAGACAGGTGGCTAGCTGGCTCATACCGTAAGGCGAAGGCATTGTACCTAATTTTAGCTAACTTTCCCTCAAGCTAACACAGTATTATGCCAAAATATTCCTCGTTTAATCGTCTTTCGTACATATCTTTCCGCTCATATAATATCATTTGGCCGCCATGTTTTGTCGTCTCAAATCTTATATTTTTCCACATCTTTATCTCTAGCCGTGCTTTTTTTAATGAAGTTTTCTGTTTAAGCAACTTATAGCAATATACTATTGACGTTGCATTGCTATGAAGTCACCGCCACTTACGGCGCTGCTGTTCTAGCAGACGACGCAGGCAACAGCCGCCTGAACTTTACGTCGCGTCGAAAGTAGTTCAAGAGCGACGCCCTCACCTGTTCACCGGCCGGCCTAGCCACGATTGTTGTGATGTCATAAAACTAATATGCGATTTCCAGCGCCCGCCGCCACGGTGTGCGTCCATCATGATGACCATGACCTCAGAAGGTTGGGTGAACAAGCGGGCAGCGCTGTCCGAGTAGAGATTTCGGGACGTTTGGATAAAGGGAACCGAGATGGAGAGGAAGATCAAATCCGCGAGCTCACGACTGCCACTATGGGTACCACCATTTTGTTTTTCATGCCGTTAGTTTCTTTGTTGTCGTCATCAGGTGTCGTCAGGTGGCTAACTGGTTTGTCTAAGATCATTCATTTTCGAGATGAGATACATATAAGCGAATTGATAAATGGAAAATCATACACACGTACCGTAATGCAGCTTTGCATAGTAAAAATGCACGCGCATAGACCCATTACGGCTAATTAGTTCTATGTTCGGTCTATGTATGCATGTATTATGTATGTTGAATTCCCAAATAGAGCTACACGTATTGTAATACACACGTCTAATGTTATCTCAAGCGTATACAATTGTTGTACAACAACAAAATCTAAATGGTACTCATTTTCGTAATTTTTTGCATGTTGACGATATCTTGTCCTAATCTCGTCGCCTGCAGGACTCCACAAGTAAGTATCCTATTCTGGCTGGAGCTCAATGAGTTCTTACGGCTAGCCCCCATAAATAGGATAACATAGCAAGGCCGTAACTGATCATTAAAGCATGTCAACGATATCAACGTGAGTCCCGCCAGCCAGCCAGTCAATAACAACAAGAACAACGACGATATTCGAGAGCACAATTGCTGACCGCTCCCTTGACTTTGGACTAATGTGTGGTGCCGCTAGCCAGCGCTTTGTCGGCACCTTTCGGTTAATTTCCTCGTAAGAAAGGTCATGCCGGTGCGGGAAGAGCGTCGAAAACGTAGAAACACTGGCCTCGGCCACTGCTGCGACTGCCTCTATATATGTTGTTGTTGATCTCGCACGGTTTCACGACATCGTTCCAAAAACGGTTGTTAGTTGCGTAATGGTACCGTAAACGTTTCCTATTAGGTCTAAATAAGCTTTCCGCGTACGATTCAGTAAACTACGCAGCAACAGGACCACGCGTCCACAGGCTCACCCCGTGGGTGGCAGGCCGCGTTTGAGGTGGACCTCTTGCATAATGTCCCCTGGTAACGGTCCGATGGTGGGGGCCGTTGTAACATTGAACGGAAACTGTGGGTACAAGCGCGCGGCTGAATGACAGACGCTGGTAGGATAGACGTTGAATGTAATAGAAAGAAAGATGGGCTAAGGGGAAGCGGGCTAGATATACACTCCAGATAAATCACATACGCACGGAGCGCTGTTGTTAATGAAAGTCACGCGTGCAGTTTGTGTATGTGAGCAGTGCTTAGCGTTGCTGGAAGCTACGTTTAGAGAAGACTCTGAATGGTCGAGATGGTAGAGTGCGGATAGGTCGGGCCACCGATAGTGACGGTATAGTTCTACTACGACAATGCAAAAAACGTACTTATATAAGTAAATACGAGAGTAATCGTACGTTTACTATGAAATTTCATGCAGGCAGAATGTCTCGTTCTGCTGCATGTGTTGTTTGATACATGCAAGGTATTCATAGGTAACTTAATGGAGCTAACGTCACTAGTTAATTTATTTGTTTGCTTTATTTAGGGTGCGGAGTAACAGTTTTTACTGGCCAATGCTGTTATAGTGCAAGCTTATCTGTTTCGGACTCGCTCTCGAATTCTGTATTTTAGCCAAGTTAACAAGTTATCTGGTTTGTAAAAATTTTCAATTAACACTACTTTACAGTAAAATAAAAAATACTAATGTCACGTATCCTCAGATAACAACTTAGTTCTTTATCAAGCATACATAATCATAGTTTTATTCGGTCATATACACTTATCAGCAAAAAAATCTTCACACCCACTATCCGATTTAGCATTACTAAATATCTATAGCACAATTAATGGAACACTTAAAGTCGTACTTTTCACAGCAGCTTTCAAGCGTCAAGCACATCCAAAATCCCATGGTACCACTTTGACTACTGGCGTCGAAATCGGTTCAAAGATGACTTCTATCAAACGTCGCGTTAGTTTCTGTTAGTTAGTTAAGCCTCGTATCAGCTAAATACGGCTGAATTCTAAGAGCATTTTTGCGTCTTCACGTTTGATTTTTTGCTTATATCTTCTTCGTGGGTCCGTCTTCTCGTGACCCCGTCCTACGCCATTTTGATCCGATATCCAAAACTGATCAGAAGTCTGCAGTTGGCTGGCAAGCAATCGCTTCAGCAGCTCTTGCGCGATCCACTAACCATACGTACACGACTCGTTTCCTCTTAGTTCATTACCGACCTATCGTACCGTCTCGTACATGAATACCGTTTCTAAAAAACTAGTCCGGGCTAGCAAAAGGAAATCGACCCAAATACCGTATCGCAATGGCAAATCGATAGCTCAACATTAATTTACAACTTTGGCGTCCTTACTCGAAATGGCCGTTAGTAAAGAAGATAGCAGAACTAGTGCTTTATCACTCTATGAGAATCGTCCGATAGCGTGTTCGCCTATCAGAAATATGTGATGCAGCAGCCATCGTTGAGGCCACCGTCTGATGAACGGACGCGCAAGCAAGAGAGCCTCTATAAAGCTGCGCGAAGTGGATGGGTAAGATTGACAGAAAAAAGTATTTGGGTTAGGCACCGACATCGCTCGTGGCATCATCTCGCGAACGCTTCTCCCGCGATGGCTGATCGCGATGCTGGTGACCGGTTCCAGCGTCAATGCCGTCACGTTCCATAGCGATCAATACGTTTGCGGTTATGTTGGAGGAGAATAGAATAGCGTTGTGGGGTTCGGTGGACATCGGTGACGCAGTGACCGCATCACAGAACGATTCGCGAACAGATGATTCTTGAGTGAATAGAAATCCAAAATAGAGGAAAATTACTAAGGTATATGGTTGGCGTTAATGGCGGTACGCCTACGATGTCGATTTTAGCAATCTGTAGATACAAATCTTTCTGGTTAAAAAATTATGCGCTAATCTGGTTCCTTTTTTCCATATGCAGATCAGAGTAGTTTTAGAGTAGAAAAACCTCGTATTTAAGCTATAACACGAACGTAGTTCACCAACCTGAATCGATAGAATTTATCGAAGCCGGTACTGGGTCTGTCTGCATGATAGCCGGCTTGTACAGACGAATATGTATCCAATAAGCAATAGCTGTAAGCACCATGTCTACAGATCACGTGGACAGACCGTTGTACATGAGAAACACCGTCTAGCCAGCAGCGGTAGCGACCGAAGTCTGTCGTTTTTACAAGAACAATTTATTTATTATAAGCGTCACCCAATGCAAACACATTCATCCCTGCTTGAGCGTACAACATTTAGGAGCGCACGCGTGTTTATCACAGTGCCTCGGGTACGCAACAGACGAGTGGCGTATTTGTCTGCTAATGTTAGAGACGCGTCGTGGTCCGCACCCGGGCGTAGACACACTCTGGTGCGTGCTAGGGGCCAGCCGTCTGTCTAACGAAATGTCTAACGGCCACACCGGACGTAAAATTCGAGACATAGGGGTAATAGGCGGGCCAGCATAGGCCGCGGTTTAAATAGGGTAGAACCCACTACCTGCGTCAGTATCTGTATGCGACATTGAAGTAGCGAGTACTAAGCTGACGTCTAATTTTTTTCGAGATCGAATCCTCTCAAAAGACTCACTAGTAGACCTGTAAATGCCGCACCGCGTCACAGTTTTCTTCGACGGGTGTTAAATGGCGTTCCTCTTTTAGGTCAGGCCGGGGCAAAGTGTTCGAGAAATTAATTTACCTGCCTCGACAACCCGATTGCCAGTGAGTATGGTATTAATTAAGTGGTTAAATTTAGATAGAACTAGCTCGTTGGAGATTCGAAACTCTCTTGATGTATTTTGCTACACTTTGTCGTGTGGTTCTTGACCTTTTTGATCATCTGAAGACTATTCTATGCCATGCCACATTATTTTTTTCCACGATTCTACCTGGAAGCTTATCAGTGTTACTAATCTACAGGGGCATCTTTGGGACAAATTTGACTATACAACAAGATCCACTATTGTACTAGCGTGTGTTCAAGCCCGCCCAGAGCTGGAACAACGGTGTCCAGAGTCACTCAGCTAGCCCGTTAGCATTGATAGTGATTTGAAAATGACTGCCAATGACAACTTCCGCGATACTTACGTTTAGACATCTACAAACAATGCAGGTATCTTTCATCGTCACTTTGCAGCTTCCACTACTCCACGGTAAACATAATTTTCGAATGGTGGACAGAATCTGCAGATATCGCCTTGCCTATGCATTAAGTATCGTATCTATTGCTTTATACGGGCGTTTGCTGATCTTTCGCCTTCAGCTAACATCACCTGTGACTAAGAAATCTATAGTGAACGTTCAGAGGCTCGGCAAAAGCCGACCCCATTTCAACAGTCCGGGCTGACGTTACCCAAATAAGTATACTTGTACATTTAGGTGTTACAGGGTAGCGAATGATTTGTTCCAATAGGTGTCAGTAGAGAGTAGCTTGTTCTCTTT